TTTTCTGGGTTATTGGAGTCCTAACAAAGAGGAGAAAATCTGTGAAGACTCAGCCTAACTGTGTAAAGAATCACAAAGTACAGGCATTTATGTGATCTGGTCACCGTTCATTTGTAAGAGCCTCCCAGCACTATAACAATTATCCATACTGTTTAATATGTTGGAATCCAGGTCATTCCAACTCCACAGTCAGCGCTCCTTCTGTGGCACCACATGGCCACTTGAAAATAACCACTTTTTTAAAGTATTTAAAGTGCAAGGGAGCAGAACAAGGGTTAGCAAGATCCATGCATTTTAAAACACAATCTCTTAAAGAATATGCACCCCTATGTTCATAGCTGTGTTATTTATGATAGCTGAGATCCGGAAACAGCCCAAGTGCCCATCAATAGATGAGTGGATAAAAAAAAAAGCTGTGGTACATTTACACAAAGGAAGGATCTCTTAACCTTTGCAACAGCATGGATGGACTTGAAGACTATGTTAAGCAAAATAAGCCAGCTAGAGAAAAACAACTATCACATGATCTCACTTATATGTGGAATCTAATGAACAAAATAAACTGATGAACAAAATAAGTCCAGAGGCATAGATACCTGGCACAGAATGACAGATCTCAGTGGGGAAGGGAGAAGCAGAAGAGGAAGAGATTAACCAAAGAACATATATGCATATAAGCATAGCCCAAGGACACAGACAATAGTGTGGGAAAGGCCTGGGGTGGAGCAGGGGCTGGGTGGAGGGGGGCAAAAATGGGGAAAAGGGGGATATCTGTAATATGTATATGAAACCAGAAAGGAATATGCAAAATGTAACAATCCTAAATAGATCAAGAAAAACAATGCTAGACAAATATGCTGAAGCTTTCAGCTTTAAGAATGAAGCATAGCTGTGTTGTGGGAAACCACATCAGCAGGACCACTTGTCTTACCTTGGGAGCAACATAAAATTTAGTCTGTCAGCTCTGTCCCTCTCTGCCTTGTACAGCTGTGTTCTTTCCTCCACCAGATGTTCCAGATTTCGAGAGTATAGCTGTAGACGTCGGATCAAGGTGTCCATATAACTTTCACTTTTCTGGTCATGAAAAAGGCTGTGGGTAGTAATATATAAAGAGCTCTTCCATGTTGTTAAGAAAACATGAACATCCATTATAACCATGGGTAAATATGATGAACAGGTGATTAAACAAAGAAAAAATAAAAATGGCTGACACCTAACAAAAAACATTTAACCTCAGGAAAAATGAAAGAAATATAGAAATAAGATTAACAAAAAGAAAGAAGGAAGGAAAGAAAAACAAATGTTATAACAATGGTAATCAATGTAGGTAAGAAGAAGGCATATATACATACAACCTCCCTGGAGGGATAGCTGGTAAAATGTGTCATAGCTTTAAGAATACACATACCAATCAGTTCATTAATTCTGCTTCTAAGAATTATTTTAAGGAAACAATCATGAATGTGCTAAAAGTTAACTACAAAGCAAGTCACAGCATTTTTTATAATGGCAAACATTTGAAAATAACCTAAATGGCTAACAAAAAAGTAGTTAAAATATTATGGTACAATGGAGTACTAATGTAGCATTAAATGTGAATTAGAATAGTTAAACACAAAAGATACTACTTCTCTATTGCTCATGAAAAAGTTCATATAATAGCAAAAATTATAATCTCATTTTTAATTTTTTTTTCATTTTTAATTTTTGAAAACTGGTGGCCATCTACTCACAAACAAATGATGCTTGTACTTTCTTGTTTGCTTATTCATTTTCTAAAATTTTAATAATAAATATTTTACAATAAAGGAAAAACTTTCTTTAAAAAAAAAAGCTCTAGAGGTAATAAATGAAAGTATATGAGAACCAAGAAAAGCAAAGTTGAGCCTTACATGATCTCCTCAGAATGGAAAGCCAGGATCCTAAAGCAAAAAACCTAGCTCTGAATGCTTTTGTTAGACCAAGGAGACTTGGATGAGGTGCCAGCTTTCTGTGACATGAGCCTATGACAAGCCTTGGTGCCGAGCTGGCTCAGAGGCAAGCTGAGTTCCTGCAGAGTCATTGTGGGGATCAGAGATAATGTTGGTGACACATACGGCACAATTGAAGGGGCTGAACAAATCATACTATTTTGTTATTACAACAACAGCAATTATAAATTTTAGTTTATACAGTCAAGGAGAAGATGGCCTACATCACCATCCCCTTGGGATGTGGAGGGATGATTGTTAAAAATTCAATCCATTCCTGAGTCCCATTGCAGACCTATAAGACTGGAAACTGCTAGGCTTGGGATTAAGAAACAGAAGTTTTAAACAAGTTCCCCAGGGAATTTACTAGAAACACCTAGAGTCTAGTTGGTAGAAAGGGCAAGGGAGCAGGTGTAAAGGATGAAGATGGGTATCTTATTTCATGATGAATTGATTTAATTAAACATTTCCTCAACCTTGGCTGCATTTTTAAAAAATTGGCTGCAAGTTTTAATCATCTAAGGAGCTATTAAAACTCCCATGTCAGCCTGCTCCCCAGATCAATGACATCAGATTCTCTAGGGTAGATGATCAGGGGCCCAGTTTATCTCCAAGAGTTTACATGTCATCTGTCACATGTACAAGCTCATCTGCTCTTAGTAACAGGTTTGTGAAGCGATGAAAAGTGGGCAAGAATTAAATCGCTTATTCTTTCCGGCTCCTTTCCCCCAAACGACAGCTTAGATCTACCAAATCAATGACCTCACTTTGATTAACTTCACTCTACTTCTTCTCCAGCCTGGGCTTTTAGCCTCGTTAAGTATCTGAATGACTTAATGAGAACTACAGAAAGTTAGAGCTGGAAGGAATTGTACAAATGATCTTGTTCAGTCCAATTTTACTAACAAGAAAATTGACACCCAATTAGGATAAGTGTTTTGCCCAATGTCCCACAGCAAGCTATTATTAGATCCTAGTGTCGGAACTGGGTCTCCTCTCTAACTCCAGTGCTATTTTTCTCACTCTGCACTGTCCCTAACAGAAAACACAAGAAATCTAGAATTCAATCTTATGGATAATTGTGTGTTACTTTTTTTTAAAAAAATCTTGAATTATAGTCTGATTCATGACTCAAGTCTTAAGGACGTAGGGCCAAAGTTGCTGATCCTAAGATTTAATTTTTTTTTTTAAGATTTGAAAGATTTAAGAAACTTAGTGATCTTAAGAATTATCCAGGGACTTTACAGATTTCCAAGACCCATAACAGACTTCTAAATTCTAATTACCTGCAGAAGAGTCAGGGAACTATATTTTTAACAGACACACTTATGATTAGTCAGAATATAGTTTTTAATCAGGCAAGTTTTGCCCTTGAGTATTTAGCTTGCCAAGTGATTATTTCCCAGAGAAAATGGCCTGGTAGTCTCCATATCATTTTAATTTTTCTGAGGTAGGTGCTTCAGTCTGGGGTTTTTCATTAGAATAGGCATTCTCATTCTTAGGTGCCACTGAATGTCAACTATTGTTAGAATAATCTGAAATCAGTGAGAAAAAAAGCAAAAATGTCAGCAATACCCAAATATCTTGGCCAGTGTAGTCTCAATTTTCTTGAAATCTGGTCTCTTTTCTGGATCTTCCTCCCAGCAGTTTTTTACAAGTAGATATACCTGGAAGGAAGAAGGGGTGGATTAGCTCAGGGGGTGGTATCCTATTCTATTTTCTTCCAGGATGGGAGTAATCGAGGCAAGGACTATTTTAAAAACATCTCAACTCTGACAATGAGGATGAGGTCGCCCCGTTGTCTGCAGTGTATCTCAGGCATCACCACCTGTACCGCCTTGCCTAAGCCCTTCCCTTAGATACCGAATTAATGAAAAAGGTGATATTGATTTGGACAAGGCCAGATTGATGGGAGAGACAAAATCTTTACATGCATTTGCAGGGTGTGTGTGGGGAAGAACAAGAAACAGTTGGGTTCAGTGAGTATGTGACAGTGACTGTCAATGAGAGCGAGGCACTTCAAGCAGCATTTTTAACTGTGGCTAACAGTGGAATTGCCTGGGAGCGTTTACAAAATTTCTTTTGCCCAGGCCCCAACCTAGGAGATTCCGACTTAATTGGTTTATGAAGGAATCTTAGAGCTCTCGGGTTTAGCAAACAAAAATATAGAATACCCAGTTAAACTCGAATTTCAGATAAACAATGAATAATTTCTTTAGCATAAGTATGTCCCAAGCATGGGCAAAGGACAATTATATATCTATCTATATCTATATCTATCTATATCTATCTATATCTATATCTATATCTATATCTATATCGATACATAGATATATGTATATGTGTATATATATGTATAGGTATGTATTTATGTGTATATATATATAATTATTTTCATTACATATTAATATAAAATGTTTATTATAGTATTAAATAATATAATTATATATAATTGGATTATAATTATAATGATATTATAAGATTATACTATAATTATAACTATATTATAATAAATAATTGCATATAACATCATAATTATAATGGGATTATTATGATACATAGTCTATATATTATTATTATTATTGCATATATAAAAGAGAAGTGAGGAAGGGGAGGTTCAGGGGAAGGTGGAGACATGAGGAAGCCCATGGAAACCTCATCTCACTATCAGTGGCTCGCAGCTTTTGTTGGATCGGAAAGCATGGTGCAAACCATTAGTTAGTTCTTTACTTTAGTCAGAAATAGGATGACAAACGGTATCAGGTGTAGTCCCTGACCATGTTCTTTGCCTCAGGGCATCCCTGGGAAGCGCTAGCTATATGCATGGCATAGCCCTTGCCTGCCTGCATTCACCACCAGATGATGCCTTTGCCTTGGTACATGATCTGCCGACGGCCTTAAAGAGGCATGGACAAACCCAACCCACAGCCGGGCTGACGCAGCACCGCCCAGTGAAACGGGGGCACTGCCACGTCATCTAATTTCAGGCCTGTATTCTATTGGAACCAGCTACTAGATATGAAATCTTTTCTTGCTTCCAATTCCAGAACCATCTGACTACACGAGCGAATGGAGGAGGAGGAATGCTTTAGTGGAAAAGGTTTTAAGCAACATGTGGCTGTCCTCAGACTAGAGAGAAGTGTTGAGAAGGGATATGCTGACGTGTGGGGAGGAATCCCAGCATCCTGAAAATCAGGGTTGGGGGGATAGAATGAGACCAGGATAGGAGCAGTTCTATTTTAGAACCTTGGGGCTACAACCTGCCTTTAATATTGAAATAGAGAAAAGAAGAGTAAGAACAGCCATTCACACTCAGCTAGGCTGGCCATAAACCTCACCTGGAAGGATGCTTATGAATTGAAGGAAAATGTTTTTATCTTTATCCCACAAGAGACAAACAAAAGGTTTTATTTTTAAGACCCCAAAAACTTTTAAGACACATTATTTACTATCTTTGGGGATTATAAAAGCTCAGATAAAATCCTAAAATAAATTTAGAAACGTTCCCCACAGGCTTTAAAAGCCTTTGTGAGGGATTATTAAAATAAATTAAACAAATACAGAGACAAAAGCTCAATTTCCTTCAGATGAAGAATAAAAGGAGGAAAAAGTACCCTTCCCTATTGTTTCCAGATGTTGGCATACTTATTTTTCAATCACTAGGTGGTATTTACAAGCCTGGCCAGTGTATCACATGGGCATCTTGCTTTGTGAGCTCCTAGGCACTGAGAATGGAACGTGTGCTTAAGGAACCAGCTCTTTCCTGAGTTCAGAGAAGTGGAAACATATAAGGTTAGGGTGGCAGGCTGATGATGGTTCCCGGACATATGTCCCTGTTCTAACCCCTGGAACCTGTGGATGTGACCTTATTTGGAAAAAGGGTCTTTGCAGGTGTGATTACCTTTGGAGTCTTGACTTGGGGAGATTATTCTGGATTATCTTGGTGGGCCCAAATGCAGTCAAAGGTATCCTTATATAGGAGGCGGGTAGAGGGAAATTAGAAAAGGAGAGGAGAGAAGAATGTGACTACCACCAATCAGAAATTGGGGTGTTTGGGCCACAAGCCAAGGAATGTCAGCCAGCAGAAGCTTCTGGAAGTAGCAAGGAATGGACCCTCCCCTAGAGCCTTTAGAAGGAGCATGATCTTGCTGGCAATTTATTTCAGACGTCTGGCCTCCAACAAATACATTTCTGTTGTTTTAATCCATGAAGTTGTATGTGGTAATTTGTTACAGTGGCCCAGAGAAACTCACTTCCAGCTCCTTCTCCTCGGCTGTTTCCAGGAACAGATCTGGGCGGAAGGGCTTCACTCCATTGGAACTCTCCACTCTGAAAATCTTCTCTGATGGGACGAGAATAATTCAATTACTAGAGAGAATGCAGCATGCGGAACGTGGAGCAGCGGTCAGATTCTGAACTGGCTCACCGACTCGGATGGGCCAGCGAGAGTGCCGCAGTGCCTCGGCCAGCAGTCGGCAGAGGGATGCCGAATGAGCCACCAGGTTAAGGGGTCTCATACCCACCTAAACCCAGGAGGCGATCTCTCAAATTAAGGCCGCTCACCCTATGAAACTCAACCCAGACACCACTGCCTTCAGTGGGCTTCCTCTGACCAAGACTCTAGCCTACAATCCTGACATCCCTAGTCACCCCTCTGCCCAAACAGTTAAGAGTTGGCACAAGTAAGTGCTCAGTAAGTGAATGGAATGAAATATTGAACCACACACTCCCACCCCCAAGGCCCCAAGGGGACATGTGACAAAAGTATAGTCAGTGGTGGCGAACCTTTTGAGCTCGGCGTGTCAGCATTTTGAAAAACCCTAACTTAACTCTGGTGCCGTGTCACATATAGAAATTTTTTGATATTTGCAATGACAGTAAAACAAAGATTTATATTTTTGATATTTATTTTATATATTTAAATGCCATTTAACAAAGAAAAATCAACCAAAAAAATGATTTCGCGTGTCAGAGGTGTCATAGGTTCGCCATCACTAGTATAGATCTTAGTAGGAACTAAAATACGTATGTCCCACTTCGGTGATCTAGTTCAGGTGTTAGACACATGGCTGTTAGAAATCAGAAGGAAAGAGGGAAATTATAAGGGGAGATTCTTTTTTAAAAAATACATTTTTATTGATTCCAGAGAGGAAGGAAGAGGGAGAGAGAGATAGGAACATCAATGATGAGAGAGAATCATTGCTCAGCTGCCTCCTGCACACCCCCTACTGGGGCAACCTGGGCATGTGCCCTGACCGGGAATTGAACCATGACCTTAACCAGAGCCGCACCTGCTTGGCAAGGGAAGATTCTTTAACTAACAATAACACTGATGGTAGTGACACCTGGCAGTGGTGTATTGTTTTACTCTCTTCAGAGCACTCAACATTCATTCATCTAATCCTTCCAAAACCCCTGTGAAATGGGTAGTGCAGATATGCTATTGCTTTTACAGCTGAGGGACAGAGATGCGGTCACACAGATCAGGGTCTCTGTCAGCCTAGAATGCAGGTTGGCCAGCTCCCAGTGGGGCAGATGAAAGGGTCAGACTCTTACCATTCTGGTCACGGCAGCATTGCGTGTAGAAGGTTTCCCTCCGCATGATGATCTCCTGGGCGATGATCCCGTAGCTGTACACGTCCCCTTTCTGAGAGATGCTGGCTTGGCGGAGGTGCTCTGGGGCTGTCCACAGGTCTAGGCATTCAGCAGGGAGATTGCAAAGTTAAGGGGGTGAGCAGCCCATAGTCTCCCACCTGCTTCTGTTCTTTAAGTCCCTACACCATGCACCCTGAATATGAGTGGCCTTGAGTTTATATGGTCCCAGACTTTTGAGTTTATGCTAATAATGGTGTTAAGGGTAGAACACACACCATTTAATCTGACTATGTAATGCCAGGATTTGGGTGAGGTCATATGGCAATGCTT